CTGCCATGACGCTCGTGTCTATCCGCTACAACTGTCAAGAATTAACGCGATTGGCGAAGCGTAGTGACAACGGGCCAATAGAGAGCGGAGTCCTTGCCATAATGCGGTTTGCGCGCTAATTTTCGTTACGTGCGTTAATCAAGCCAAATAGTTTGGCCGAATATTTGGTATTCGGCCCGAGGCTTAATATATTATTGGTTGCATCACTAGTCTTGACTATGAGGCTGTCAATGCTATTTACGACTGTGTGTTTGTGCCGATCATTTGCTACGCTTCGGCTGTTTGGAGTTAGGCAGCGTCTCAATCTCACAATCACTTCGGCTTAGAACAGCCCAACGTCTTGCACTTCTACGACTTAGGGCTATTTCACACTATGACCGACTGGACCGACTGGCTCGACTCCAAGTCGTGTTGCCATGGCAACAGCAGTCTGCCGACCGACTAGTCGTTCCAGTCGGACAGATTTGAAAAGTTAAATATTTGTAGTCGGGTCGGAGCAGTCGGTGAGCTACAGCCAATGAGAGCTTCGAAACTATAACCAATCAGAGTTTAGATTTATCCAATCTACGTCGAAGTTAGAAAATGGCGGAAAGTATAGATTTCTCGGAACCTTTAATAAACTAAGTCAGACCATATCCGTGGCTTTATGATATTCGGCGAGCCGATTATAAAGACAACATAAAAAAAATAATTCTTGGAACGAGATTTCCAAGAAACTAAACGTTGTAGGTACGTGATTGACTAATCTAATAATGACGCGATATATCTAAATGCACGATCGCTTTCCATAACGGCCATGTTTTCTGTTTAGTTTAAAAAACTTACCATGATTGGCTAGAGTATTGATCTATATCACGCGTTCTGATTGGTCCTTATGAGTCGGCCACCGACATTTAATCGTACTTAGTATGAATGCTTTTACTACTAGTCGGTCCGATTATAAAATCGGTCGGGTCGGACCAGTCGGTCATAGTGTGAAAGAGCCCTTACTCGTTGCTACCGCACTGTTTCGAATACTGCTCTTCCTGTTATTGCAGGGAAGCCTCACCAAACCATTACTGCACTGGACGATTTCTGCTCTCTAGGAGGAAAAACATCACTATTTCTAGTAATACGTAGGAGTAGGATGCTTCTTGCTACGAGGTCAGCAAGCCTTTTGTAGACTTGCCTCATCCAACATTTAGGAAGAGCCTTGGGTCTCGTGATTGCCCGACCGACATCGAAATTTATACTCATGGGTTACTGCAAGTGCTTTTGTTGTACATTAACACTAATGAAATTAATCATGACACTTATGTTCTTCACCCTGGATGTTCAGTGTTTCAGGCCGAGATGTTTGCTGTGTTTAAAGCAATTGACTTTGCAACATAAAATTTAGCATATAAAAATTAATTTAAAACGATAGGTTTTTATAGCATTCAAGTAATTGTATTGAAAAATACATGAAAATTTAATTTTCTGTCCGTTCCGACTTATTGAGGATAACTTGCGAGCAAAAACCAACGAAAAGATGGCTTTGCTAGCGAGATATTCAGGATGGCAAGCGTGTGTCACGGACACATCTGAACATCGATGTTTGGCTGGGTATATTCGGCGCTTTCTCCTGAGGTGACTGCGCTAAACACCAAACATCTCGCTAGCAAATGCCCCAAAAATCTCGCTTCCGTTACTCTCCAGTTGGGTGGCATTTAATCCCTCGCTGCAACGCAATGACAGTAAATAATCGCGAGCGAATGTCTCCGAAACGATAGCTTTGCTAGCGAGATATTCAGGATGGCAAGCGTGTGTCACGGACACATCTGAACATCGATGTTTGGCTGGGTATATTCGGCGCTTTCTCCTGAGGTGACTGCGCTAAACACCAAACATCTCGCTAGCAAATGCCCCAAAAATCTCGCTTCCGTTACTCTCCAGTTGGGTGGCATTTAATCCCTCGCTGCAACGCAATGACAGTAAATAATCGCGAGCGAATGTCTCCGAAACGATAGCTTTGCTAGCGAGATATTCAGGATGGCAAGCGTGTGTCACGGACACATCTGAACATCGATGTTTGGCTGGGTATATTCGGCGCTTTCTCCTCAGGTGACTGCGCTAAACACCAAACATCTCGCTAGCAAATGCACCGAAATCTTACCTGGATTATTTTTCGACTTGTTAATCGAATGTCGTCAACAATGCAACACTAACAATAGAATTCAACAATATTATTCTTTGTTGTCTTTTATTAAATTAAAAAAATTAAAAATTTATATAAGTTTATATATTTGGATTAAAATTATTTTCAATATTATTTATAGACTGTACTAGTATGAAATAAAATTATATTTTAAGGTTGTAGAATCAAATGAATGACGTTATTAGTTTAATTTCGTTAGTAAGATGGCATTTGTAATGCATTCACTTATACGCCTTATAGTATAAAAAGTAGCATTTAGAAAATTTAGTTTGGTTTTAACATTTTAAATTCATTTAATGATTTTGGAAAATAATAATAAATCGAAGTTAAACATCACTCGTAAAGTTTGACAGTACGCAGACGAGAATTTATCCAACGGTTGAATTTCCAAGCGGCATTGGAAGTAGCTACCGCTCTGGGAGACCCGGGATTGAATTCGAACGGGTCGAAAAATCCCCAAGAATTTTCGGGGGGTGATCCGTTCGGATATGTCGGGCCCCGTCCCTCATTACCCGGCTACTTCATTGTCGGCTTGGCCAAATCCGTAATGGTCTGGCTAAAATGAGGTCCTGTTAATACCCACAGGGCGGAAAGAGTTAAAGAAAAAAAATGCACGAATTCTGGACTAGAGGTGGGAAAAATCCAGTTCCTCTTCTGGAACTGGAACTGTTGGAAGTGATTCGAGTCGGAAGCGGTTCCGACCGAAATTATTCACTTCTAACTCTGAATTGTTCGAAATTAGAAGGATACCACCGCGTTTTTGTTTTTTATTGGATACGTATTTGAATTTTGATAAAAATTTGATGAGATTGATTCATTATTCCAGTGTTATTAACTTATGGATCGTTTATTTATCGAACCGTCAGTGAGACAAGAACTACTACACGTAAGGAGCTGTCCATAATTAATGTCCACTCTGTAAGAGAGGGGAGGGGTTGAGCTTTAGTGGGACTTCAGTTTATTTCGTTAAACTGTATACAGTTTGTGCATTTCATTATATTTATTTCAAAATTTTTTGTATGTTTCGTTTCTACTTATGGTATTTATCATTCATAGTGTTGAAGGTTTTAACGGGGATTGCATTATGTTGGACGTCCGAAGAGGGAAGGAGATTACGGAAACTTGGCCAAACTGGGACAAGACGGCGAGAAGTAAAAATTTCAAGAAAAATGCGGACGTAATTTATGGGCAGCCCTAATAGAAAACTAGAGGATTTTCATGTAAGTTGTTTTGCTCATATTCTACAAAACTGTACTTAATATTCGATGTTACCACCAAATTATATCGAAAATCCTGCAATTATTTTTGCTGTCGGGTCCAATATCGTTCACATGCAAATTATGCATAGCAATGATAATTGGATTTGCTCGTATTACGACACAAAACGTAGGCTATTCGTATATACCACGGATGGGCAAACCATTTTGAGTCCGCGTGCCGTATAGTAATCATTCTTATCCATAAAAAGTTTATTCAAAGTCTAAATCTTCGGCACGCATTAAGATATTTAAATAAATGGAACAAATATGCTTTAAATACAGTAAATATAAAGAAGCTTATTGAAAGAAAGGATGATCGCGTGATAAACCGAAAAGATTATTGATAAAGATAGGTGATAAACCGAGATCGTGTGATACGTTACGTCTAGATGATATCTCTAACGTGCCACTTCGTCCATGCGTGCCATAGGTTCGCCACTCCTGGTATATACGATTCTACAGTGTCCCAAAAGTTTCCGTGCATACAAAGGTACTTTATTCACAAAACATTAAAATGTCAGCATTAAAATTTGTGTCAGTGAATTGACGGAGTAAGGCAATGGAACACATGGGTGATCTGCCAATGGGGTAACTTCTAGCAGAACTTCCTATGTGGAAACTGGATTCTGTTTAGGTGTTAGTCACATGAAGAAAACTCAGAACACTGTATGGTGGCCAGCCCATTGGTCAGGCACGAACCAATGACCAATTACCAGTGTCCAATGGGTTTATTTATTAGGCCACTGTATGGAGACTTTTGGAACACACTGTACAAATTACGGTAAAATATGTACGAAATTCAAAGTATTCTCACAAAGATTGTATCCTCATATTAAAAGTGACATATGTGAACTTACCGAAATACAGCAACAATAACAACTGCGGTATATGAGGAATTGCTTTTACTTTCTTATTAGATTTGGTGTCAAATCCGATACAATTCGATACGTTCATAGATAAATGCGTCATTTGTTGAAAATATTTAATTCGTCTAAATTAGACCATTTCCCAAAGACACCATTCAAAGACGATGTTGGAAAAATGAAACCCTAGTAACTTGCTTCGAATAATAATTCCAAATATATTTAAATAATTATTTTCAAACTTATCTTTCCATTTATTTCTCCACTATGAAAAATCCATATGCAGTACGTTTTTTGTATTGGATTTTATTTAAATTTATAATTCTTTCCCGTATTAGTTCCTTCATTTCTTCAATTTTAAAAAGAAAATAACAAGATGCAAGCACAATTGATGGAAAATTGTGTTTGGATCTTATACCACTTGTAGTTTTGTGAAATTATGTAATTGTTTAATGGATTTAAGAGTAAATAAGATTAACAAAAAATGAGGACTATAAAATGCTTATATATTAAAGTCATTGTTGCAACATGGCTGCTGATTCATTTAAATTGCTTAAAATAGAGCTGTGTAAAATATTCCAATAATTCAGAGAGTATACAATATTCTTTAAAAATATTTATTTACAATATATAATTTTATTTGTGAGAATAATATTTCTTTTATAGTACATAAATATCTCACTATATCATTGTTATCCGATTACTATATTGAATATTCATATAAAATTAGTTAAATTTTTCTCATAAAATGGAAATATATTATTAAAAAAACAAAAAAGGTTTTCGACTCGATCGCCAATGTGCGTTTTCTTCTATTAAAATTCTCACAATTATTCTTTATACGAAAATAGTTTTGATTTTCTGTGGTTCTATTGCTTCGTCTCTAATACTAAAGACGGTCCTAAAAAAGGAGGGAAAATCTTTGTAATTTTACAGTAAAATTAAATTAAACATTATAAAAATTGAAAATATTTACGCTATTCCGAATTCTAAATTTGTTATTTCTACTTCTTTAATGTACACTTGAGGAGCATTAAACAATCTCCACGACAAGGGATTGAACAGTGATGAAGCCGATCTCCACTCCATATCTAGTCTCAAAAGCTTACCCAAATCGTGAGCACTGACGATGAACTCTATAGTTGAACCTGGAGCATACTGAATGTGTCTATATTAAAAAATAAATCGGTTTATGCGATCATCTTAAATAAAAACACTACATTTTTATAAAATGAAATTACTCTTTGCTGGCTTCGAGAATTCGTGTCTGCCCCTTCTTGCCTGTAATTCGAATGAAAAGTCTTCCTCTCTCTTTACCGTGTTTCTTTGCTTCTTCTGAATCCGAACAGGTTATCTTCACGTGATAATGATACCCTATAAAATATTATTACGAGTTTAAATTCTAATTTTCCACCATAGATTATAATGTAAAAGTTTAAGTCACTCACTGCAGAATGGTTCGAAGTTAGCTGTTTCCAAAAACATTTTGGTAGGTTCTGGTTTGGCGTAAGGTCTCCATTCGTGGGCTCTATAACCCATATGAGCACACAATGAATTGTCTTCCCCACACCCGTGAGAACATTTTCCATTAGTGAAATTATAATAACTGTCGCAGACGTAGCCCAAAAATGGGCAGTCCGTGTTGACTGATTCGATAAAGAATTCGTACGCCCTTATGTGACTGCAACCTAGATAACGCCTTATACCTAGAATATAGTATATAATTTTATAAATTAAATGATTATCTGATATTTATTTTTTAAAAATTACATACCATATAAAAGATCACCTTCTTTTTCTATAGATCCGATAACGCCATTGTTACATCCTGGTTGACGTTTCCCACCATTTGGATAAAAATCAACATGGCCGCAGTCTTGTATCATTCCCAGTCCTAGAGTATTTAAAATTAATTAAAATTTATTTTCGAATTATCTAGAATATCGTCATTAATTAATCTGTAGTACCTCCAATAATAATACTTCCTCCATCGGTGTGAATGACATCGACGAACTGTGCATCGGTGGGGTCAAGTCTAACCTTTGGATCAGTGTATTGAAAATATGGTTCTGCAGGATCCAATCCTACAAATTTTTGTTAAAATCTGTTAAATATGTTTTATTTATTGACTTAACATAAAAGAATTCATTACCCGTAATTCTTCCAAGACCTTGTAACCTTTCACCCGCGTATCCAGCAACATGTGCGCCTAAACTATGACCTATTAAATGTACTTCTGCGGGTGATATATCGTGTTTCTCCTTAAAAATACAGTAAAGACTATTATAAAATGAATTATTAATTAATAAAAGACAGAATTAAGAAAAATATTCATATTAATTAGAAACATATTTTTGATGACGTGAAGATCGGTTGATTGATTGAATAAGGCAACGCAACACCCTCAGTCCGCCAAGGCGGGTACTCTTGTAGGAAACTGGCTCTTATTTATGTGTTAGGCATATAAAAAACCCGGAAAACCACGTGCCAGCGTGTTGGTGAGATGCGAACCCGCGATCAACTGTTCGGTGGTCTCCATTAAAGTTTTCCTTACTTCACACCTCTATTATTTCCTTATATAATTCATTAAAAGTTCATCTAATATAAACACACGAAGTAACTTACCTCTAAAAAGTGCATAAAGTTAGCAACAATAGCTCCAACTATTCTTGCATTAGAGACTGCTTGAGTGTACGGAGGAGCGGCACCATAAACCCAATCCACAGAAATGATATTATAATCATCCTTCGTTAATAATTCTCTAATTAAATCCTGAAAAATTAAATTAATTTCTGAAATGTTTCCCCACGAATGCACACACAAATAGAACCTTAAAATCCAACAATAAAGTATTACTGATAAACTTTATAGATACATTTGTGTATCTTTGAACCGTAAAATTCGTCAAGCGTTAATTCTACTTTAATAAAAAGAAAATTGCATCGTGCTTCCTCCATCCTTAATAAATTTAACTAAATTTAAGTTTCAAGTGCATCGTAACAAACTATTTCCGGATCCTTTCTACTAATTTTATAATAATCTATATTTTTATATAATAAATTCCTCGCTAACATACTTTATTGATAAATTTTATGCATATTTTTATGGGGTTAATCAAATTTTGAATGGAATAACTCACCTGAATCCACTTCTGATGTCCATGTTCTAAGTATCCATGGATGATGAATTTAAGAGGGCGAGTAGCCACGAAATCCTTTTCAGGTAAGGAAGCATTTTCTACTATTTTTAATTCTTTAAAAACATCCGGATTATCTCTAGTTTTAAGAAAAAATTTTACATCTAAGATATCTGGATGCATAGGAAATAAATTAACAGGACGATAGATGGATAAGAAAGGTTCTCCTATGGAGAAGCATCCCCATTCCCCATAACATCTCTTTAACAGAGCATCTGAAATTAAAATTTTAATATGTTATAATTAATAATTTCTTAATACAATTAATTAACTTTTTATATTATAAAATTGAAACACTAATTAATATCAGATTAGTATCTAAGTATCAACTGGTTTTAGTGACATTGAAACCAAAGCTTTTAACGAAAGAGAAACCTGCCAACCTTGGTTAAAACTGTTCACAAATAGCCAGTTTTTTTTTTTTTTATAAAATAGTACAGAAAGGAACCAGAAAAATATCAAATTTCTTAAAAATTATTACAGTATTCATCTGCCTTCATGCATTCAAGTAGAATATACTCAATCAATTTTTAATTTAAGAGCAGCAAACACTTTTATTATTGAAAACAAGCCAAACCACAATTTCTTTTACGTATTGGGAAGTTCACAAGTTCCTTCTGAGTTAATATTAAGCATAATTTAAGGATTTAAATAAAGGAATAATAAAGGATTTAAACGACAAACTGGCAAGCTAGACTAACGCCCCATAATGATTGAAGGGAATATTGAAGAAAATAACACATTATTATTTTATAAATCCATCCACCTTTTCCCAGAATGTAAGAAGAATGGGGTGAGTTCTTACTAACCTGCCTCACTCAATTTAAACTTCATGAAGCCTATTCTTCCATTTCTATTTTCCCCAGACCTCCCCTCAACTTCTGTAAAATATGTAATTGGAAATAGGGCTAAGAACACTTCCTACTCTGGGTTATTTTCACATTAAATTTATTTAAAAATATACAAACATGAAGGCAGATTAATTCAGTTATTTAATGTTTAAAAAATTATAAAAACAATTTAATTATTATTATTATTATTAAATTGAAAATTTCTAAGAGTATTTATTGATACAATTCTTGAAAAATATTTAAAAAATGGGTCAAAATCAAGGACGGACAATCTGTGTCAAAGGTAATCTATTGACAGTCTTTTTTTTTTAATTATTTTTCCTAAGTTAGGGGATGATTTCAGATTTTTTTCCTCTGAAAACTAAAAGTTTAAATAAAATTCTCCTATTTTAATTCACATTTTTATTATTAAATTCCTTAATGACATTCTTAACGTTTTCTAAATTTAATAGAATTTATCATTCGGTTTTAAGTGAACTAAATTAGGATTTATCAGCTATGAACCGTCACGCATCAGTGAAAATAGCAACGCTCATGGTCAACATCAACATTCTTCAAATAAAAAGTCTAGAAAAATCCAATTAGGAGATTAGTAAACTGTCACTCGATAAAATTATAAAAAAAATAAATTAATTAATTAGATTAAGATAAAGGATTTTTTAAAGAGAAATTTCTAAGTTTTCCTTCCCTCTTTAGCGTTTTCACATTACTTTAGACAGCTTAGAAACTTCAAATTTAGGGCGGAATTTAATTTAATTTTAAGTGTTTTACATCACAGATTATTAAATAATATATATTATATTAAATAAAATAAAATGTATAAGAATCTCATTATATTTTATTTAAAAAAAAAGCAACTTAAAGCATCCAAATAAAATAAAATATAGAATATAAACAAACAAGTTTACGCCGACCTGAGAAAAACTAAACATTTCTTACCTTGATCCGAAGTTTTTTGACCTTTTTCTTTATCCGATTCTTCTTTTTCTTCGCAATTACATAATGAGAACGATAGCAGGAAGATCAATATTTTTCCACAGCAGATAACACGCATTATCGATCTATCTAGTGTTTAATATTGTTTCCGGTATAACCGAGTTCGGAAACTGCCAATTGTTGCACTGGCAATAAGGCGTTGCGCATGCTCCAGGTCATTTCCATCCCCTACATCTCGTTCTCTCCTTTAAGGTGGACCAAGTTGTATGTCAGGGTTATTTATGCTTCTATACCTAGATTTATCTGTTCGCATTTTGAATTATTCATTTCTTTTTATATGTAATTAATCATTGCTTCGATTTCTGATTTTATTCAAATTAAAGGTGTGTTTTCTCACTTTTTAAATCACAGATAAAAATAAATAAAAATCTTTTTTGAATATTTAAAAAAAAATTCCAGAAAAAAAGCAATAATCTCTAAGTTTTCTCTATGTAAAAATCTACTTAATAAAACCAGATTTATTACTTTTTAATCTTTATTTTTCTTAAATATTAAATTACTTAAATCAAGGTTTTTTAAAAAGTCATTAATTTGATACTGATAAATGATAAACCTTCCATTGTAATTTATAACACGTTAAGGAAAATCAGATAGGAGCGTTAACGACATTGTAAAGTGGCCAAGATTCAATTAACAATAGGATACGATTTCCGCAATTTTAACGAGAAGAATTGGGGGATTTTTTAAATCTTCCGAACAATAGTATTACTAATAGAAATCATCCCCTTCGAGAAAATACTCTTTGGGGAGTGGCATTTTAGAAATTTGGAACTCTATGACCTTGCATTGGACCAGAGCGTGCCTCAAGGTTTCCATCTGTGATTCGGTGCCATACTGTTCCTTAAACCGTTCACGGCAAACTAGATACTGAGATTTCGATTATGAACGCGATCAGGAAAAGTGCTGAAGGTCATAATCTGTATATAAATCGCCTCTAGGGTTTCGGCTTTACACTTTAATACCTGAAATCTGTCCTTGGACGTGGGTTCTTACATGTTGATTTTTTTTATTTGATTAATTTATGATTTTAGGAACATTTCAGAGTTTTAAATTACTCACTTTTGATTGAAAAGTTTATTAATACCTTTATATTTTGTTATTTTTTGAACATATAACCTTATATCAAACAGTTTTATTTAGAGTATTATAAAAAATAAATTTATAGGGAAAAAATTCTACAACTAAATTTTCATTCTCTTCTACTTACTCACAAAAATAAATTAAAAATTCAAACTGTATCTTATAAATATCCTTGATGTCCAGTTTTTAGTAGGTTGGGATTTCCACAAAAATCTTAATATAATTTTTTTTTATTTTTGTTTTTAATTAATCTAAACAAGTAGAGCGAGTTGTTTTGTTTTAATGCATTACAGTAACAAAGTTATATTTCCGGATATAATTAAAAACTGTATAAAGCAAATCAAGTTTTAATTTACACATATCCAAAGTAATATGTACAAATAGATTTTCCAGCATTTTTAAAATATCTCTATAAACTTTCCAAAAAGCATTATTTTTCTATCTCGTCTAACCTATAAAAACATTTTCCTTTTAATTCAACATATTAATAAGTGATGATAAATGTTATTCCAAAAGTTATTTAAACAACAATTTTTGTTCCTATTAAAAAATGTCCTAGGCTCATTCATTTAAAATTTTCACAATTTGGTATCACAATACATTGGAAATGATCCTACATTTCTTAAGATAACAATTTCCAATTATAATATGATTGATGTTTTCTAATTTTACAATTGTAATAAATCACATATAAAAATTTTATGCATAATCATGTGATGCGTTCTAATTTGTATTGAACGCTTCTTAACTCCGAAGTTAAGTTCTGAATGGCCGGGTCAGAATCATTCATCGATTGGACGTCCACGAGATAACACGCGACCATATCCAAACATTGTGTGGTGAGTTGGCGCCTGAAATGAAAAATCCGCAAGTAATTTAAAAGATTAAATATATATACATATAGAAAAACTGCTTACCTTTCAGACTGTGATATGGATTTTGGATTATCAACATATGTATTTAACAACTGACAAAGTACATGTAATAAATGCAGAGGTCTTTTAATATGTAATGAAGAAACTTTAGACTTGTATAATCTATGATATACATCTAATAATTGTGGTAAAGGAACTCCTATTGACAACAATGTGGTAAATGTCCATTTTACATCAAACTGTTCAGAACTTAATTTCTCTTCTAAATACCTAATTAAAAATGCTAGAAAAAAATTTTTATATATAAAACAATCAAATGTTTTTTTTTTATGTTTGACTATTATGTCTACTAATACTTATTAATAATTAACCAACTAAAGCTTAGTTGTTAACTTAAATATAACAAACAGCTAGGATGTCACCATATTACATGACATATAGAAAATATAACAAATCAAGAATATAGATCAAAAGTTATTTATACTGTGATCTCATTTCACTTTACTGATTTAGAAAATGTATCTCATGAATTATCATTACTAAAATTTTTAGATATATTTAATGGAAACTGAGTTTTGGTATTCCATTTTGAATAATGCAATCAACCTGCTAATAAATTATCTAACTTTAACTTTTACATAAAGAAAGAAAAACTCACCAAGAGGAAAATATTTCTGTGAAAGAATATAGATTTTTCCCAATGATTTCAATTTATTTGCAAGAACTTCCATTCTTGTTTGAGTAGTGTTATTAGCAGTGGCATTAATCTCTGAAATGATTTTCATTTTGTAAATAAATAGGTATTATTATATTTTTAATAAGTGAAACTTACCTCTATCTATTATCCTCTGCCATAAATTTTCGACTAGAGTAGGATCATAATGACCAGCACAGTGTATGATAGCAAGTTCACATTCGGGTAAATCAAAGGGATGAGCAAATTTTTCAAATAACTGAAATAGAAAAGTATATCCAATCAAATATCATTATAACTAAATATAATTAATTTCCATAGCTTCTGACTATTACTAAATTTATTATATATATATATTATTTATTTAAAAAACAAAAATCTTCCTGAATAGAAATTAATATATCTTCAATTATGGGAAGTGGGAAAGCTTAATCCCACATAATTCTCAATCTTTTTTTCTTGTTTGATTTGCCATGACAGCACAAAACTTTCACTATTTGTATATCATTAGGAAAGACCAAAAATAAAAATATTTTTCTACATTCTGACAATTTCTTAACATTAAATTGTTTTAGACTGCTTTAAGTCATCCTTTTTGGTAACTCCACATTGCATTCTATCTTATAGTTCCTCAATAGATAGCATTTTCTAATAAGAAAACTGCTCTAACAAGTTACATTCAGTAATACAATTTTTACATATTGCAGAGAAAGAATGTGTATATTTATTTATTTATTTATTTATATACTAAATATAAGAGAGAAAATAGTAATGAATAAAAGTTACTTTTTTTTGAGAATGCTGATATATATTTTGTCTCAAAAAAATATTTTAATACAATAAACCCACGACTTCTTGAATTTTATTAGCCTGTTTTATGTTTTTTAAGTTTATATATAAGATAATAGATGAATTTGTTACAATGAAAATATTATGAGTATAATATCTTTATTGTAATTCTCATGATTAATTATAATTTGTTTTCCCTCAAAACATAAATTTCTGTAATCCTTTTCATCTCAGTTTTCATTTATCAATATTCCAAACAGTAATAACAACATATTTTTTTTATAATTAAATCATATGTAATTCTATTATTTTAGAATTACATGATTTAGAACTTACTTCTGTTATATCTAATAAATCAGCATTCAACCTTGAAAGTGCATCTGGAACACCTCGCAAATCACTCCTTTGTTGAAGCATTTCAAATATTCTTTGTTGAATGCGAGCCACCTGAAATTTAAAATTTTATGAACATTTTTCATAAAATGAGTGCAAATGCTTTGTATAATCTATCACATTACTTCCTCAAATGGAATATAACAACAAACACTTTATGTGTTTCTATCAAAATTAAATAATATTAATTTGGCATAAAAAATCTTACTTCCATTTTTTCTTCAAGTTCATGCAAAAATTCTCCTTCACCTGATGCAGTTATTCTCATTTCTGAACTTTTAATGCACATAATTGCATGTGCAAGATATTGAATCCTTTGCTGAAGATTGATTTCAGTTCTTTTAAAAAAATTAATTAAATTGATAAATAAATATATATATGCAAAGATATGAAAATACATTAACTATTTCACAACAACATACCCATGTTTATCTGCAAGTTTTGCTAAAATTCTAGCTGCAGCAGCATAACTGTGATTCTTTTCATAATATTTCCACATTAAATCAATATAGGCTATATTATTAGGCTGTACACTATTACATCTTTTCAAATATCTTTCTAAATATGGTGATTTAATCTAAAAAAAATTTAGTATTGTAATAATTCACTTCAAACTATGTTAAGGCTTATACTTTCTAAAACAAACCTCCAATAATTTTTCCATTTGATGGCATTCAATTAACCAATCATACAATGCAACATGAAATAATTCATCACCACATTTTAATGCAATTTGAAAAGTGTGCTCCACCTATTAAAAAAATCTCATAATTTAACCCTAAACAAAATTAGCAGAGTAAATTTTATTTTTTAAATTCTTACATAAGATTTTGCTTCTTCTGGAGTCAAAAGAGAATAATCTTCACTTGCAGGAGGTCCAGGTGATTTTGGAACATTTGGAGCTTGAGGATGAGATGCTGTTATTGACAGTAATTGCCCCAAAACTTCCATGACAGATTTGTAACATTCCATTCTGTCAAAAACAAAAGAATTATGCATCTTCACATTTATTGCAACCAATTTATTGCAGTGTATGATTTGCAATATACACTACATACATAATCATATATCACAAGGGAAAATTTAGCCAAGAAATGTACATATCTCAAGTACAATTTCAAGAAAATTAAGTATTAATTATAAAAAGAAAGATTTATTATTTATTTTTAAATATTAGATATATTTGTGATTTTTATTTATTTGATTTTAAGAGTAAATTCTATATTGCAAATCAAATAGTTAAAGTAAAATTTGTTATAAATATGAAGACATTTAGAAATGAATGATCAAATATTAATTTCTTTTTAATTTTAAATCAAGTTAAGTAGTAGTAATTAATAAATAGCTATTATATTTCTATAAATAACATGTAAATAATTCTACAGGTAATTTTATTTACAAAATAATATATGTAACCTATTTCATTTTGGCAATATTAATATTTCTTTGACTGATTTACTTAAACAAAAAAAATTTTTTACAATACTTTTCCTTCAAACAATACATTCTTACATAATATAATTCAGATAAACATTATATATGATAACAACTTATATGTTTATATAACAGTAAACCCCCATATAACACTGTTGATAATTCTGTTTTATATGAATTCCATGTTGTACGAGTCACTTCACTTTTACAAATACATGAGCTGTTCACAGCCCGGCACATGTATTTGTAAAATCTAAGTGACTCGTACAACATGGAATTCATATAAAACAGAATTATCAACAGTGTTATAGGGGGGTCAACTGGTATATAATAAATAATGTATTAAGACAACACACATTTTACTTTAAATTTTATTCTTATAGAACAATATAAATACCTATTTAAATATGCCTGCAATCCTTGATTATCATCTGGTGGTTCTCCATTGTTGTAGTAATGTAAAGCTATATTTTGTGGATCTCTCTTCTGTGCTGCACTTAAACACAAATCAACTATGCCATCATAGTAATGAACTGCTTGAAATAATACACAAACAGCTCTTAAATTAAGTTGTGAACTTATTTGTTTGCATAACTGTAATTCAGATAATAATACAAACACATTTATCAATTAATATTTAGCAAAATTAAATAATTCATATTATAATTAAAGATACCTGAAGTGATTCTTTTAATATATTTTCTCTTTCTTGGTTATTTTGAATTGTCTTAGCTGAGAGAAGCTTTTCATGAGCCTAAATTAATTTAATAGTTAGCTTTTCCATATAATTAAATACATTGGAATAAACAAAAAAATATGTTTACCTTTGAAAAAAGTGCATCTTCATTCCTATATATAGAAGGACATACTTCCCTTAATCTATTACTTATTGCATCAGTTGTAGCATTATCATCCAAATATAAATTTATTAAAGCATTAACTAATGCAGTTGTAACCTTAAAAAATACATTACATAAGAATGTGATATTAAAAACTTTTTATTTATGTACTTAAATTCTAACAAAATATACATACTTCTTTTCCAGATATGATCAAATCTCTAAATATCATGGATTTAATTTGAGTTTTCAGTTCCTATATAATTATTGTTAATAAAAAATATTAAATAATTTCAATTAAAACTTTATTCTGAAATTGAGAAATTGTATTTAAATTATTACATCAGAAACTTACAGGTGTTAACAAATTTGATATTACATGGAACTGATGATCACACAAGACTTTCCAAAGGCCTAATACTTCACAAGTATAATGTATTAGCTGATGAAGATTAACAAGAGATGCTCTTTCTTGAATTTCAGCTTCAGCTTTTAAATATATCAAATTAAACAGACTTCTTAAAAAAATCAATCAACATGGCTAAAACAGATTATAGAAGCTAATAATTAACATGTTACTAAGAAAAACTAATTTTAAAACTTTATTTTACACTATCCCTTAACTTCCATGATAGATTATTTCCATGTAAATTGAGAATAACATTTATGCAGAAAATGGAGAGACAGTAAAAATATCTTGAAAAAAAACTAATAAAATATTAACAAAAATAAAATTTATTCTCTTTCTTCTTTGCTCGTTGATAAAGAAACAATTTTCCTTTTCTTTTATAGCTAAAAATCATGTCACTATCATGTCACTTTCATTACTAACATCTTTATTAAATAAATAAATAAAAACTGAAATGAAGATTTGATAGTTAATTAATCTCAATAAAATTCAGTATCAAGGTTTGTTTTTTTATTTCCACTTAATTTTTTATAAATTTCCTGAAATGAAGCTATGTTTAATGCATATGATGTAAAGTTTATATATAATACAAAATGCAGAATTCCACCTCTTTGAATAGGTAGATTGAAATAAGTGACATAATTGCAAAAATCATAATACTTAACCTTTCAGCAGTGGGTTAGTCAGGTATGGTGCTATTCCTATGCAGTGGAGAATAAACATGGGAAATTTTTAAAGTATTTTCACATGCGTTTTTTTTCTCATTACCATTTCGGAAAAAGATTTTGTAAACAGTTATGTCTAGTAAAGAAAAATCATCTTTTTTTATTGTTACATAATTCCTTTTTTATGTGAATTTTTTGCAGTAGTTTTTGGCGATAACCGCAAAAGAATTTTGCAGATATATGTCGTTCACCAGTACCACACGATTGCCCTTGACAGATATATCCGTCGGTCACTGCTGAGTGGTTAACATATGCCTAAGCTTTATTTTTTTCAATGAAATGCTTAATTTAAAAAAAAAAAAAAATACTGAATATTTTAGATGATTGTGTTAAACTTTATTGTGTAAAATGAAATTGTCATATTTTTCTGATAATGCTAAACCAAAATCATAAAGCTTGCTGAATGGTCAAGATGGTTAAGGACTCAACCTATCACTCTGGAGATCTGGGATAAAGTCTGGGTAATTGAAAAATTCCAGAAATTTTTTGGAGGTGATCTCTCCTGAAGCAGTCAGATGATAAGGGCATCATCTCTCACCACCTGGCTGTTCAATTGTGAGCTTGGCTAAATCCACGATTGGTGTGAAAAACAGCCCTCTTAGTGACCATAGGGTGAAAAAAGTAAAAACAAAAACCATGCAATTCAAGTATCATGTGAAATTAAGATTAGGTGTATATTATATATACAATGCTTAGTTATTATTAGTTCTTTCATTTTTTTTACTGTCACTTAATTTCGTTATAATTGACTTGAATTAAATTTATTGCAAAAAAAATCTAAAGATATGAAAAACTGATAAGTGCAAAGTTACTGTTAAAACTAATTGCTAACTTCTATAACTATTTTCCTGATTTGACTGTTAATATAAGAACAGAATGGTTATTGAAATATATTAAATTGGTTTTATATTAAACTTACTCACCTTGTGATTTCTTTTGTAATTGTTGTTGCATTTGATTGGCTTCTGATGGATTGAAGCAATCAGGACGAATGTAATTAAGAACACGTTGTGGTAGGTTTTGAATAGGATTGATACTTGAAAATATTAAAATATATTTATATTAACATCTTAAATCGTATTACTAAGAAATATAATTAAAAGAATAAACATAGAAAATTAAATTTAAAAACCAATAGCTATATTTTCTTAAAAACAACTCACTTTGAAGCTCCCATATTAACAGAAAATTGTGAATTATCTTGAACAAAATCTCTTAGTGCTTTTAATTTTTCTAAATAAATTGAAATATCTGTAGAATTTACATTGCTGGCAAGCTGAGGAAAAATTAAATCCAATTAAAGAATGAAATATTTTCTAATTGTTCTGTATTTCAAAAATTTACACATACAAATTCTCCAACTTCATTTTGTTCATTTTTAGAAGGAACATTAGAAACAATGTTTACATTCCAAATAGGTCTATTTAAAAATAAAAAATTTTAAATTTATTATATAATATTAATCAATAAAATTAATCATCATAAAATTTAATCTTTTATCCCATACTAACATATTTATTATTATTAATTCTATCGCATAAGACTAGTACAGTAGAACCTCGATTATCCGGATTAATTGGGGATGAAGAGAGTCCGGATAAGAAAAAATCCGGATAATCGAAACATATACTTTAATTTGTCTTTTAATGATAATACAACACGTTTTCTTTTCGATGACATATCGGTAATATTAAAAATAAATACTGTATTTAAATCGTGATCAAATTTTCAAGAAACAAACGTTCGTATTGAATTTGGACTACTACTGACCAACGCTAACAGACTACCTATTGTTTAAAAGGCCCTCTGGTGGCGCAAGAAGACGGATTTTATAAAATAAAAAGCAGTTGAAACTGCATTTTTATGAATAAAAATTTGATAAACTATTTATCGTTTTATGACGAGTAAAATTTTTTCGTCGCGTTCGCGGCTTTTAAGTAATGCATAAACCTTCGAGGCGCGAGGCCCTTCGGACCGCGAGGCATAGGCGGTGGCCCACGTCGTCCATGCCTTACGCCGCCCTTGGTCATAGAAATGATGTAATTTGAATATAAATTATTTATAAATACATATGTCAAGTTATATTTTTATTACGACATAAAACATATTTAAGAGTTCACGACCACTGTGCTGGGTGAGACGTTGTTGTAACAAAAAAAGTTATGCATTTCATCACGTACATAAACAGTATCATAATTCGCGAAGTGCAAATAAGCAAATTCGTAAAATTTTTGTTTACTTTGAACAATCCGGATAATCGAAAATCCGGATAATGGAGGTTCTACTGTACTATTATTATTCGATAATGATAGTAATAAATCATTTATTCCATAAAGTACGTCATAAACTGATATTTCTTCAGCTATACAATTCTAAGAGACTTTATTAATGCATGAATACCAAAATATTGAAGATTTTCTACCATGTTATAAATAACGTCAATAAAATTAATTGCTTCAATTTAAGAAATCAAAATTTTTGGATTAGCATTTTTAATTATTTATTGAATTATCTTCAAACAAAATGTTTATATTTGGATCAATAATTTTCAAAATTTTTAAAAACTGTTTACTTAAATTAAATATAAAATTTTGGATTATATTATAAGCAGTTTATAAGTATTACCTTAATATTCGTGAAAAATATAAAAAGAGACCATTATGTTTTCCCGAATAAACAATTTCTGGACCAGTAACTGGCATAGCACTTGTCTGTAAAGTACTCTGTGGTTGAAATGGTTGTTGTGAATGATCAAATGCTCCAACTGGCATTACTGGACTAACTGGAATAGCTGAATAATTAAATATATTTAACTATTAATACAATTATATCATTAAAAATAAAAAATAATAAATTAATTAATTATTCAACTTATGTTTTATTCATCTATTCATTCTATTGATACTTAAACAATACATAACATTTTATTTTTAAATTATGTATAAGTAATTTAAAACAAAATCTTTGCCATATATACAGAGAATTTTCTTTTCTTTTTCTCACTAACTTGTAAGTTTAAAAAGAGTATTTGTTTATCTATAAATTTCTTAAATTTCATTATTTATCTATTTAGTTGTTAAATTACATATGTAACATTTAACATTAGTTTAATAATTTTTCCAATAAATAATGTTTCTTTTGAAATTTGAAAATTTTGTATGTTAATGTTTGACATGCCATAAATTTAAGGAGCATAGTCTAGCTCAATGAAATGAGATTTTTTATGAAACATACTGGGATTGAAAACAAAAATTGACAGAGCTGTAGTTTTTGACTCAATAATTTTAATTGTAAAACAGATCTAGTAACTTCTATATTTTTCTAATCAAATATTTATCATCCTGCATAATTTGAATTACAAAACGCATTATTATATTTCATCAATAACAAAATTAAAAAGCTATTATAAAGCACAAAATTTATACATGAATTTAAATTAATATATATTAATTGGTTAGAATATTTGATATATTATCAAAAAGTGCAAGTTCAGATCTCATCTGAATAAAACAAGTTTTCTGTCTTAATTTCTTCTTTGGGTGAACACGTGATTTATGCAACAGTGTTTATTCTTTGAATGTTATTTTATTTTTACTATTATTATTATTAACAATTTCAGCTACTTAGCATACAGATTTTCCATTATAGATTCAATATTATATCAATCAACTCAAAGAATAAATTTAAATAATATTGTGAAGGCCTGACTGTCGTGTGGGGGTTTTGATTGGATGCGTAACATGTTATATTGTGGAAATAATGATGAAAGACATATGGCTTGTTGCGTGTTTGGTTGGGGTTCTCATGCGATAGTCGGATTTTCATCATATTTCTCCCGTTCTCACCCCATTACCCGAGGAATAGTCCCCGGATAATGAACTGCGTAATTCGTCCGTCAAGAAGGTCATCCCTAGGACGACGTCGTCCGAGGCGACCGCGGAAGAACTCCCCTCTCCCCGGGGCGTTTGTTTGTTTTTGCTAATTGGTCACACCGCAGACACCTTGTAAAAGAGTAGTCTCCTGCGGGTGTCCGGTTGACTGAGACGGACGGGTGTTCCTGTATTGAGAGTAGACAAGAGGTCACCTACAAGGGTCACCCGTACAGCGAGAACATTACCAAAAATGGTCAGTCATCTCCCCAGGTGATGACGAATTTAACATTAATTGGTCAAGCGATGTCTGCATTGTCGTCACCCATGACAGGGGAGACTGTCATAAATCAGGAGAAGTGACAGATTGCGTCAGAAGAGTCCCCGAGATTTCCCACGCTAAAAAAGTATAAAAGGGGAATGATCGGAGGTCTCGAGGCGATCATCGAAGAAAGAAGACTACAAGCGTCTACTCTGGAAGGACTTCAAGGTTTCTGATCGCCGACCTAAAGAGGTAAATACTTAGTTTGTTTTTACTTCACTCTCTCTCGGTATACTCGGGACTTAGAAATTATTGTCTCTCAACTTACTCGAGACTTAGAAAATTGTCGTTTACCGATATGCTCGAGACTTAGAATTTATTTATCTGTTCCTTTTGATAGGACTTAGTCATATTTTGTGTCGAGGACCTTCGATGGTCCCACTTATGGGATAGACAACATCGGTTGTCCGATATTGTCGCGACTCGGAATTATCGCTTACATATTGTTTAGAATTAATGTGAAATTTTAATGTATTTGTATTATTTTTAAGTTTATATTAAATATGTTATTAATAATTTAATGACTCTTGTTAAGTACTACCGACATCTCATCATGACTTCATTACGCCTCCCACTCCTTTAGCCCTCCTATAGCCATTTCCTGACAGCCAAGCTGGTAAGTGGGGAGAAGCTCGCCGCTTCAGCCCCCTCGGTTAGCACAATATAGATATGAACACAACAGAAAAGAGATATCAGCACATCATCTATTATCTCAAAAGTATACTTAAATTTAATTAATTAGAAAATTTTTATAAAATATTTTCAAAATTATCTGCAATTAACAATCAGTTAATGATGACTTTTCTTCTTATAAATGTATTAATATTAAAAACAATTACATACTGTATTAATATAAATAGAAACAAAATGATTGTTGTAGTACATTCTAAGTAAAAGTAAAACCCACTACTTTTCAAAATGATTTTAAAATATGTTTTAAGTTCATTAAAAAATTAATTTTGTTAATTATTAAAAATTAACTTAATCAAATGTAAACTAGAAAATTATGAAAATATTTCATAAGTGTCTTTTTTTTTTACCTGGTGAAGTAACCGGATTTCCAACAGCTGGTGTACTAGACCAAACTTGGGGAAAAATAAACAATTTAATATTTAATCAGAACTTTCAACAATGTTTTAAGATAAGGAAATATACCTTGTCCTGCTGTTCTACTACCTAAGCCATATAATGGACTATGTGGAGTCATTACTGGATTCTGGGGACCCGTTGCTGCAGGAAAAGTGATGTGTGGTTCTCCTCCGTATCGAAAAAAAGCAAGTGTAGCCCAATTTGCAACCTAAAAATCAATTTACTTTTAATGTTAGAATCTAAAACTAAAAATTTTTATACAAATTAAAATTATTAATTACCTGTTTATCTTGTGGTAAATTTGAACATGCAAGAATTAAACAAGTAGCACAGGCTTGAGTTTCCTAAATATTTATTCATTTAAAGTTATATACACATATTAAATAAAATTAGAAAAAATTATATAGTTATTTTAAAGTATCAATTACCCATTCTGTAATGTAACAAAGTGTATAAATAGAAAAACAATATATCTGATAAGTTCAAAGACAACTATTCTTGATCATAAAGCAATTATGTATTTAAAGAAATAAAACTTTGAAATTAATATAAATTCAAACACAAATTTGAATTTGTGTTTGAATTTATATTAAAATTAATTAAGATAAAATTAAGATAAAATTAATGATGTGTAATGACAAACAAACCAATAATAGACAAAATTAGTAAAACAAGTACATTCTTTATTTGAAAAGGAGAAGCTAGACATGTCTTGGCCATTATTGGTACAAGGGGATAAATGCAATACCAAAAATAAAAAATGTGTACATTAACAATCATATAAACACAAGTAAATATCTGCAGAAAAAAAATTAATTCTCTGCAGATATTTACTTGTGTTTATATGATTGTTAATGTACACATTTTTTATTTTTGGTATTGCATTTATCCCCTTGTACCAATAATGGCCAAGACATGTCTAGCTTCTCCTTTTCAAATAAAGAATGTACTTGTTTTACTAATTTTGTCTATTATTGGTTTGTTTGTCATTACACATCATTAATTTTATCTGTCAATTTGACTATTACATGAGCTTAGAAATAATTTCTCAGTCATTTCAACCATCATGCAATCAATTTTGTTTTTCTATGAAATATTTGTTATTTTATATCATATAACTGCATTAATATTATACATGCTAAAAATAACATGTACAGTATATGCTTATTAATTTGGGGTTGTGTGACAAAGTTTATTTATAACATTGCTTTAGATAAAAAAATAATAATGGATCTGAAAGAATAGATGTATATAAAAGAAATACTGAAAGAAGAAATCAGTGAATCTGACAATGAAAGTGAATTAAAGGATGACTACATAGTGGAAAATGAGTATAATTCAGATAACAATGAATTCAAATAAACTTTCAGAGGCAAATAAGAAAATTTGAAAAGTCATGCAACACATAAGTAAAAATTTGACTGCTATACAAAAAATATATATTCCACAATAAAAAATGGAGTGTATAATTAGCTTTAAATAAAGGGACATATCATAAGTTATTGTGCATATAGTTCTCCAAAAACCAAACATCTGGCTACAGTTGACTGCAATATCTGCATACCCTTGCTTGTATGTAGCCAAGCCATATTCTGAACTATAGTGCTATGTCAATTATGTTTTGTTCTCAAAAGTATATATCAATCTTTCCATTCCAATAGAGTAAGGATAATCTCCCTGTAAGCATAACATTTTTAGAGATTCCATTCAAATATTTGAATGAATTTATCAGTGTGCTATTTTTTTTTACAGAATTCAAAGTTTTGAGATTCCAAACTCTGGAGGTAGCAAGCTTCATCTCAGATGCTTTGTTATATAACAGAATAAGTGACTAGTATATAAACTAATATTTATACTATCATATTAGGAATCTAGTTATGTATACTAAGCAATAAAAACCAATAGCTATTAAACAGTAAAACAATCAAAGAATTTGTCAATTCCAATTCTTTTATTGTTTATTATTTTCTTATTACTGTAAACATATTTTCTCTTCAAAAATATTTTTCAAAAATAAAATAGCAAATAAACAATCAGATAATATCAAAATTGTATACAGTATGTCGTTTTGGTTATTCCTAAAAATGTTTTACAATATAATAACACCTACTTTTGCTGTAATTTATCATTATGAAAACAAAAGTGTTTCAAGTTCAATACAATCACAAAATACAAAAAAATGTATTTCAAATCACTCAAGTTTATATTTTAATATTAATTAATGCAAATATTAAAACGTTTTAAATTATTATTTTACTTCATAATTTTTCTTTCTTATTTTCTCATTAACAAATGTCTCAAATGAATCTAATAAAAACACTTTATTAATGAAACTGTTTTAATTTTAAATGTATTTTATTAAAGGTTAACTAATGATTTTTGATAATCATTTAATTTTTCTTATTTTAAATTTAATAAACAAGATATATATAAAACATACTTTNAAATGCAGATATTTAGCCTTAAAATTCAAAAAGAATCCATGACGTCAATCGCATTCGAATTCGTTACGCGCTTTCTAATCTCCATAGAAACGGCAACAATTGCTGTTTCTATGGAAACGCGTATTGTTGCAACACGATTTTGCGTCACTTTGCACGTTTTTCGCTTGCCGAACGGACGTGTGCGCTCTTTGCTCTGGTTTTTGCTGTGTTTTTTTGTCTTTTTCAGTGTTTTCTGCTACCCGAACGTGGTTTTAAGAAGACTTGTGGACGCCGACGTTACACCAAGTAAGATTTTAATTAGAATTTTGCTAGCGTTAAGATTTTATCTTCGTTTCGTTTAGTCCAACTTTCGGAGACGACATCGGCCGACTCGAACTTTGCATACTTGCGTTTAAATCTGCCGTCGCTTGTGTTTTTCGTTTGAATTACCATCCGAAACGCACCTCTTTCGACTTTTAAACCAGACGTCACATTGGAAAGCGACCGAAGTGTCGAAAACGACGGACGCAAAGGATTAAGTATTTGCTCATTGGTTTAATTTCGTAATTAATTAATTTAAATACTAGAGCTGAAAGCAAAACAAATTGTCTAGGATATTCCATATGCTGTGTTACCAAAAGTGGTGGTTCAGTATAAACATTTATGTTATTAAAAACCATTGGACAAAATGGTTTCGGTGGCTGCAAAATAGGAACTTCAGCCATTGCCCATGTTCTGCCAGTAATGGGAAGAATAGTCTGTAAATTTCAAAAACAATAATTATTCTAGTGAAGAATTATCAAGGTATTTTTTTAAATTTTGAAAGTAAGAAATTTTACATGAATTTCCATTAAAATTGGTTGAAATGGAAATGTATCATTGCTCATTGCCCAAAGAATATCACTGTCATCATTTCTTGCTGATGCTAATAATGCTGTACCTATTTAAATTAAATTCCATCAGCAATTTTAATGCAATATCAAATTTTTAAAATACATTAATTAGAAATATTAAAATTAAAAAGATAAATTCTACCTTTTCTATAATGTGCAAGATGAACATTTGATGGTCGATCAGGAGGAGCATTGGCAGAAAATCCCGGAGGAAGCCTTACGTGAAGAAGAGAAAGTGTAACAGGTCGAATTTCTGGATGAATAAGTGATGTTGTAGTGAAATAGAGCCGAACACCTAAATTTATATCAAAGATTATTAATATATGCTTATGAAGTAAAACAAGTAAAAATTCCAATTCAATAATTAAATAAAAATAAAACCTGTTTGGGTAATGGCAACTAGATGAACTAAAAATGATTCTGGTAGCTCTACAGAACTAATATGAACAATTGGATGAAAGTGTGATCTGTCTATAGTCCTGTAAATTAATGAATGATCAAAATAATTCCCTTAAACTTTGTTATTTAAATTAATTTTTACTTTAAATTTTTAGATAATTCATTAATTGATAAATTATATATGTTCAAACAAATATATCTCAAGAAATTCAAAGTGAATTACGATAAAGCATTTCTAAGTAAAAAGTGCTTGATTTTTGTTTGATGAACATGGTCACATAATAACAAAGTATATTTTGTCTTTATTAAAAATGTTTTGATAATATCATAAGTTATCTAATTTACTAAAACACCAAATTATAAAAGTATGTCAATCAAATTTCTTGTTGAATATTGTATTCATTCAAGAAGAATTAAACATCATTCTTAAATCAGAATATATATATATATTCTGATTTAAGAATGATGTTTATATATATATATATATATAAACATCATTCTTATATAATACATCACCATATATATACATATCATATATATATATATGGTGATGTATTTACAAACTAATTTGTAAACAAATTTATTTACAACTAAAGTTTGTTTTTAAAATCAATATATTTTCAGATTATTTTAATTTATCAATATTTAATACTTTGACAATTATAAAAAGATTTTAATTAAATTAAGTGTTTTATAAAAAATGCATAGTCAATAATTTATGTTTGATAAATAAAATTATTATTCACTTTTGCCAAAACTATCTTTAACAAATCTAGTACAAATGTTTGCTTTCTACTTTCATTAAACCAATAACCAGATTATTTAGGGACTCTTTCAAAACATACAATTAATTAAATTCTCTAAAAAATGAAAATTCCATAATCCAACAATGAGAAACAGATTCAAATTTAATACTTTTCATTTATCAGAAGCATTTTCAAATAATTTTGGTCCCTCATCTGCATTCTGTTGTTTTAAAACAACAAAATATATCAACTGATTTGTTTAAATCAAAAATTTATCTACACAAAAATACTTTAACAGAACCAAATCCAAAAAGTAATTTTGTGGTTATTTGTATCCTATTAAGTGGAATCTTAAGAGCATAGTAGTAAATACAGTATTTTTTGGAAACTGTAATTCTATTTGATCCTATATTTTAATCTGTTTTTATTATAATAACTTAGCCTTATAGGTATATGGTGATATCATCTTGCAATAAATTTAATACTTATATTAAATTTAAACTTTTAAAAGATTTTATAAATAGTCCATAAATAATCCTAAGTTTAGTTTAATATATAATTATGACTATAATTTTTATTTGTTTTCTATACAATTAGACAAAAATAAATAATTTGGATACTAAACCAATGTTATATAAAATTCTATTACTATTAATGTAATTTAAGATGGAACTTATATGTAACTTTGTAATAATTCATTTTATCTTAAAAATATGAAAACCAATTTACTTTGCAATATGTACAGCTTGTTCAACTATTGCATTCTGAGAAAGGCCAGTAACTCTGCTTGTTTGTTTGCCATCATTTCCCAAGTCAAACACCTTAAAAAACATTATATATTTAAACACATGTAAACATTCATTTTACAATAATAATTATTGATGTTTCAATTTTAATGACAATATAAATTGCCAAATTTTAATTATAAATATATAATTATAATTTACCTGAATTCCTCCTTTCTCAGATCTAGTATATAAAATATATCTGCTATTATCTATTTCAATTTGTACAATGGGATCTAAAATTTAAATCTTTCATTTATTACACTATGAAATATAAATATTTTTTTTTTATTCAGTAATTTCATTTATAACAAGTAAAATTTGTTTATTTGTAATATTGAAACGGAAATCATCTTAATAGAATCCTAAGGTAATAATATTCATAAAAATATTTTAAATTACATAAATTTTTATTTTATCATTTTATTTTTAACATTGCATTTACATAAATATTTATATACAGACCAGATTGTATCAAGATTTTAATACAGACCGTACCAAAGGCATATATTTTGTATGCTAATTTTATAATTTTTTGCTTAGTAATAACAATATAAAAAAATATATATTTTTTTTACATGTTTTGAATGTGGTTATTAATATTGTTACACACATATATATATATATATATATATATTAGATTAGCTTAATCTTGAAATTTGTCTTTCGTTATAAATTGTACTAATAAGTAATAAACATGGATACGAATATACAAGAGAATATCTGCATGAGTTGTTTCTTAAGACCTTGCTGGATGATGTCGCGCATCTTCGGATTAGAGCCATTCTACATATGTAACTGTAAAACAGATATTGCCATTTTGTATAACGAACAATTGAAAAATACTTATATTAAGTGTATAAAAGTTATTTTATGGATATATTCTTATTTCCTGTTGTTGCATTCAATACCGGGTTTCAGAGATTATACGATTTGTAAAGGCTGGTTTGATGATGTCGGTACTGAAAATACAACAATGAATGCTGCCTTCGGGTTACTATTTGCAGGTTATTCAATGTGTTTTAGTTTTCTCCGAAACAATAAATTCAGATTACTACAAAATGGATTAAAAACGAATATTTCCGACAAAAAATGATAGACGAAGATAATTCCACAATGAGAAAAATATCCCTAATCATTGCTTTCATTGTGATGACGACTGTATCTGGTTTTCAATTGCTTAATGTATTTCTGTATTATCCCGCTATGTAGAGAAGACAGTATTTCGAAGGAGAAGCTATTCTGTGTTGCGTTGAAATTGCTTTGAGTGTAATATTTTGCATCGGAGGATTTGGATATGGAATGCTGTCAGGTGTATCAGTATTGTTCGTCGCTCAGAAAGAATTCGAACGTCTTCAGAATGAACTATTTGAAATAAAGAATAATAAATTTCTGCCAAATAAATTAAATAAATTTATGTAACATCACGAAGAACTGTGGATATTTGTTAACCAGTTAAATACAAAGTTCGATTACGTGTTATGCTTCGTTTATTTTGGTTGTCTCTTCTTCACAAGCTTTTGCTTTTATGAATATTTATTTATAGAAATGAAGGAATCAATGCAATATATATTTTTAGCAATGTCCTTAGTTTGTACATTAATCTGTGCATATTGTGGATGTTTAATGTGCTGTATTGCATTCACGGTAAATGTTATTCATGCTTTATCCTTTCTAGTGATTTAATTATAATTTATACTACTTTTTTGGTTTTCCGCCATTCTGGCACTTAGAGGGCTTCATGTTAGTAAACCCTTTATGGATTCGGCCCGAGCTCACAATGGGGTTTCTCCCTAACCGCTCGGCCATTTGGCCGTCATAATTCCTACTGCTGTCGTTAGATGCTTTTGATTATAAATATTATGTATTATGTACTGTTAGAATGATATTGCATTGTATTCATTTTGTTACTCTTATTGTCTAGATGGAGAATGATTTTCAAGATATTCGTCAATTTGCTGTAAGCAAGTTAAAACTGGAGCAGAAACTAAAGGTACAGTTTATGTTATTTATGAATTTTTTTCAAATAAATTGAACTTTTGCGATATTTCTTAAGTTTGAAAAATAATACTCATTTATTTATGATATCTGGAAAAATATATTATGTTCAGTTGAATAATTACTTTGTTTCCAAAATTTTATCCATGTTATAGCATGGCACCTGTTAGTTTACGTAACGAACTGACAAATATGCCATGTATAGAGATGATTTTACTTTTCCACGGATATGTGCATGATGATTGAATTTAAAGACAAAGATGGATTTTCCTACTATGTTTCTATTAAGTTAATTCTTACTAAGTGCTAATTAAAATACAATCAGTGCCTAAAACATTCTTTGCTTTTCTATGTCTTTAAAGTACAAACATTTCAATGGACAGAAAATTAGAGAAGACAAATTACGCCATTTACTGGTTCATCCGTGTCTCGTTTAAAACTGGTTTTACCGAATATTTTTTACTTTACATATTTATTTATAGAACTAAATTGTGTTAGTATTTCTTTTATAATATTTTCTTCAATTTGATTTTTTGTTATCTTCTGTTCTTTCTCGTGTTTTTCCAGATTCTTAACTTCATGAAAAGATTCGGAAATGTTTCGTTGTGTATTACGATGGGTGGATTCTTCGTCGTCATCAAAAAATTCCTTCTAAAGGTTGTCATTCTTGTGGTTTTGTAAATAATCTTTAAATTTCATTCAATAAAGATAAAAATTTTGCATATAATTACATATAATTGCATATAATTATATTATTTTTCAGATGTCGAAAACCATGCAATCTATTTTTCCTGGTCTTTTCAAGTTAAAAAACGCATCGAAGTTGAAGAAAGAATGCGACAACAACTTTTTTCGCAATTATTCTTCTTATAATTGAAAGTATAAAATGAAGGAAGTGCGAAATTTTATAAATGGAATGCTCGAACGTTTATAATCGAAGTAATAAAATGAAGAGACGAGTAAATTTTTCACGATTCTGTTGTCAAGGTGTGCCTATTCTTCACATTTAAATTCAGACGTGAAGAATATGTTTTCAAAATAAATATTGAAAAAACAAAATAATGTTAACTTGTATAAAACCTCGTGAAACATCATAGTTTATTCATATAATCAGAGAAAGCAATATAAATTATTACAAAAAGGCATAATGGNGGATTAGTCGTATTTTTCCCGCCATTTTCATTCTAAACTGTATTATCATTATATATTTTGACAGCTAGCATTTTAAGGCTTATTTGTAAAAAATTTTGTTTGATTTTGTGCAATTGTTTATTTTTTGCGTCCTATCAAATATGGAAGATCAAAAGCAGCATTTTCGGCATATTTTGCTCTTTTATTACCGAAAAGGTAAGAATGCTGTTCAAGCGAGAAAAAAATTGTGAGACATGTATGGAGAACATGTATTGACAGTGCCAAAACTGGTTTACAAAATTTCGTTCTGGCAATTTCAATACTGAAAACGCACCATGTTCTGTATGGCCAGTTGAAGCCAATGAAAACAAAATAAAGGTACTGATTGAAGCAAACTGCCGAATAACAACACGTGAAATCACTAAGAGATTAAATTTGTCAAATTGAACTGTTTATGATTACTTGAAACAAATTGGTTTCGTTTCAAAGCTTGATATATGGGTTCCATATGTTCTTAAAGAGAGATGCTCTCTTTGGTGGAATTTTAAGAAAATTTTTTTGGAGCTTTTAACAGACAATTTAACAATTGATTCGAAAGTGTACTGCCATCAAGTAAACAAATTGACAAAAACAAATCATCAAACAAAAAAGACGGCCAGAATTGATCAACAAAACAGGTGTAGTGTTTTACCACGATAATGTCAAATTTCACACAAGTTTGGTAACTCGTCAGAAACTGTTATAACTTAGATGGGACATGCTTCACATCAACCATATTCGCCAGATCGAGCACACTCAGATTATTACTTGTTCTGGTCTCTACAAATTTTTTTAACTGTAAGACATTTACTTGAAATGACAATGTCAAAAATCACTTGGATCAGTTTTTTGTAAGCAAAGATCAAAACTTTTATGAATGTGAAATCATGCTACTACCAGAAATGATTACAACAGCTATTTGACCAAAATGATCAATATATAATTCAATAAAATATTTATTTATTATAAAAAAATATTGTGTTTTTTTCCACAGAAAAAAAATGAAATTACTTTCTGAACAACCCAATACTTTCAAAAATCGCATTGATAAACTAGTTCAATGGTTCCCAATTAGTGGTACACGTACCCGTGGGGGTACGTGAATTTGCATGAAGGGGTACACGTGGTAATCTAAAATTGGTCAATTTGAAATTTAAATGCATGAGATGAAGCAATAAAAAAAATAATGGGTGGACCATCAAAAATTTGGCAATTTACAACATGATGTGGAATGCAAAAATTCATTTATTTATAACTAAAAATATTTTCGAAATTTCATCAAAAAAATTCATTGATGACAATACCTAAATGAAATTCTTGTGCAAGAAACAAAAATTGTACAATTAACACAAATTGTGTTAATTGTACAATTATCATTATCATCATGTCAGCGAAGTGGCAATAAAATATTTTCTACCATTTTGCACTACATACCTCTGCAAGAGTGGATTTTCATCCATGACAAACATGAAAACTAAACATTGTCACTGACTTCAACTTGAAGATGACTTGAGACTGAAGCTGACCAAAAAGCTACCAGATTTTATTGTGCACATTTGTCACATTAAAATTAAATAATCTTATGTTATTTTCATTATTATTAGAATTGTATTTTAAAGGTAATAAATGTAAAAAAAACTTATTCTATTTATCACTTGCTGGCTACCCACAGCTTCGCCCGCATTATATTAAATTTTCTCGTGGGAATAAGATATTTTCTCGCAGTAAAATGTAGCCTATGTCCATCTCCAACGTGTAAGCTATCTCTGTGCTAAATTTTATTAAAACCTGTTCAGCGGTTTAGATGTGAAAAGATGACAGACAGAATTACCTTTGAATTTATAATATTAGTATGGATTAATATGAATTTCTGCTATAAGGGGTACGCGAGTTTGAGCTCTTTCTCGAAGTGGTACGCAGGAAGAACCACTTAACTAGTTAAATCCCTATCAGACATGGAATTTTATGGCAATTCTGTAAGCCCATCTTTAATAAAAAAGTATTGCAGATCATTTTTTTTATGCCAATTTTCAATCTTGCATTATGGATTGTCCATCTGGTCAATGGGTGATCCTTTCCTTTTACACAAGATTACTTCTGCTATTAATAAGATATACCTCATGTTTAACAAAATGTGTAATCTGCCTTTCATTATTGACTCTAATATTGCTAAAATTCACCTGGGCTTCTCATCTTTCTTTGAGAGAATTAAATATTTTGAATATATTACAAGTATTTTAACGACCTTATTTATCAAAATTGATATTCACTTCAAATTCCATCAAGAAAACTTCACTCATTTACTTATGTTTCTACTCCTTTTTATTGTCTAAATCAGTAATTTCCAAAGTAGGCACTACTGCCCCCCTGTGGGTGGTGTGTAAATCTAGGGAGACAAAAAAAAGTGGGTGGCAGGGGGCATTGGAGGCAGGGTATTGAATGGTGACCATAGGCAAAGGTTGAGGTACCTGACAACCTTTCCTCTGTTAAACAGGTAAGAAGAAACACTGCATTTAATGGTTTTCAGATGTTGAGAACAATGTGTGGTAGGGACACAAAGTGTGAGGTTCATGGAAAAGTTTCCTTAAAAATACTTCCAAGCCTTTCTCACAAAAAGGAAAATGGGTTAGAGGGCACTGGGATACAGTTGGGGTGAGAGATTGATAAAGTTTGGGAATCACTGGTCTAAATCTATCCCAGCAATCTTTCTTCTACTGTATATTGCAAAATCTTAATAATTTTGATGAATTTTTACATCTTGATCTTAATTTTAAATTTAAAAAAGTGCTTTATCTCTTTTAAGATTTGTTCCCTGTTTTTAATTTATTTTATATTTTGTTTTGTTTGTTTTTGTTTTAAAGGGTGTTATTTGTTTTTATCATATTGATTTTGTAGGGGAGCAGAAATCAAATGTCTATCCAGACTTTTCCTGTAAATTTAATGAAAATAAATTCGAAAAAATTCATATTTTTATTCCAGAATGTAAAAAGAAATAAATAAAGATATAACAATTATAATGACTTGATCTTTAACAGAGAAACTGCAATACTTAACTACAAATATAAATTTTAATTAAATAGAAAAAAAATAGNAATTTGTCAAATTGAACTGTTTATGATTACTTGAAACAAATTGGTTTCGTTTCAAAGCTTGATATATGGGTTCCATATGTTCTTAAAGAGAGATGCTCTCTTTGGTGGAATTTTAAGAAAATTTTTTTGGAGCTTTTAACAGACAATTTAACAATTGATTCGAAAGTGTACTGCCATCAAGTAAACAAATTGACAAAAACAAATCATCAAACAAAAAAGACGGCCAGAATTGATCAACAAAACAGGTGTAGTGTTTTACCACGATAATGTCAAATTTCACACAAGTTTGGTAACTCGTCAGAAACTGTTATAACTTAGATGGGACATGCTTCACATCAACCATATTCGCCAGATCGAGCACACTCAGATTATTACTTGTTCTGGTCTCTACAAATTTTTTTAACTGTAAGACATTTACTTGAAATGACAATGTCAAAAATCACTTGGATCAGTTTTTTGTAAGCAACGATCAAAACTTTTATGAATGTGAAATCATGCTACTACCAGAAATGATTACAACAGCTATTTGACCAAAATGATCAATATATAATTCAATAAAATATTTATTTATTATAAAAAAATATTGTGTTTTTTTCCACAGAAAAAAAATGAAATTACTTTCTGAACAACCCAATACTTTCAAAAATCGCATTGATAAACTAGTTCAATGGTTCCCAATTAGTGGTACACGTACCCGTGGGGGTACGTGAATTTGCATGAAGGGGTACACGTGGTAATCTAAAATTGGTCAATTTGAAATTTAAATGCATGAGATGAAGCAATAAAAAAAATAATGGGTGGACCATCAAAAATTTGGCAATTTACAACATGATGTGGAATGCAAAAATTCATTTATTTATAACTAAAAATATTTTCGAAATTTCATCAAAAAAATTCATTGATGACAATACCTAAATGAAATTCTTGTGCAAGAAACAAAAATTGTACAATTAACACAAATTGTGTTAATTGTACAATTATCATTATCATCATGTCAGCGAAGTGGCAATAAAATATTTTCTACCATTTTGCACTACATACCTCTGCAAGAGTGGATTTTCATCCATGACAAACATGAAAACTAAACATTGTCACTGACTTCAACTTGAAGATGACTTGAGACTGAAGCTGACCAAAAAGCTACCAGATTTTATTGTGCACATTTGTCACATTAAAATTAAATAATCTTATGTTATTTTCATTATTATTAGAATTGTATTTTAAAGGTAATAAATGTAAAAAAATCTTATTCTATTTATCACTTGCTGGCTACCCACAGCTTCGCCCGCATTATATTAAATTTTCTCGTGGGAATAAGATATTTTCTCGCAGTAAAATGTAGCCTATGTCCATCTCCAACGTGTAAGCTATCTCTGTGCTAAATTTTATTAAAACCTGTTCAGCGGTTTAGATGTGAAAAGATGACAGACAGAATTACCTTTGAATTTATAATATTAGTATGGATTAATATGAATTTCTGCTATAAGGGGTACGCGAGTTTGAGCTCTTTCTCGAAGTGGTACGCAGGAAGAACCACTTAACTAGTTAAATCCCTATCAGACATGGAATTTTATGGCAATTCTGTAAGCCCATCTTTAATAAAAAAGTATTGCAGATCATTTTTTTTATGCCAATTTTCAATCTTGCATTATGGATTGTCCATCTGGTCAATGGGTGATCCTTTCCTTTTACACAAGATTACTTCTGCTATTAATAAGATATACCTCATGTTTAACAAAATGTGTAATCTGCCTTTCATTATTGACTCTAATATTGCTAAAATTCACCTGGGCTTCTCATCTTTCTTTGAGAGAATTAAATATTTTGAATATATTACAAGTATTTTAACGACCTTATTTATCAAAATTGATATTCACTTCAAATTCCATCAAGAAAACTTCACTCATTTACTTATGTTTCTACTCCTTTTTATTGTCTAAATCAGTAATTTCCAAAGTAGGCACTACTGCCCCCCTGTGGGTGGTGTGTAAATCTAGGGAGACAAAAAAAAGTGGGTGGCAGGGGGCATTGGAGGCAGGGTATTGAATGGTGACCATAGGCAAAGGTTGAGGTACCTGACAACCTTTCCTCTGTTAAACAGGTAAGAAGAAACACTGCATTTAATGGTTTTCAGATGTTGAGAACAATGTGTGGTAGGGACACAAAGTGTGAGGTTCATGGAAAAGTTTCCTTAAAAATACTTCCAAGCCTTTCTCACAAAAAGGAAAATGGGTTAGAGGGCACTGGGATACAGTTGGGGTGAGAGATTGATAAAGTTTGGGAATCACTGGTCTAAATCTATCCCAGCAATCTTTCTTCTACTGTATATTGCAAAATCTTAATAATTTTGATGAATTTTTACATCTTGATCTTAATTTTAAATTTAAAAAAGTGCTTTATCTCTTTTAAGATTTGTTCCCTGTTTTTAATTTATTTTATATTTTGTTTTGTTTGTTTTTGTTTTAAAGGGTGTTATTTGTTTTTATCATATTGATTTTGTAGGGGAGCAGAAATCAAATGTCTATCCAGACTTTTCCTGTAAATTTAATGAAAATAAATTCGAAAAAATTCATATTTTTATTCCAGAATGTAAAAAGAAATAAATAAAGATATAACAATTATAATGACTTGATCTTTAACAGAGAAACTGCAATACTTAACTACAAATATAAATTTTAATTAAATAGAAAAAAAATAGTTAAAATTATTAATAATTTTCAAAATAATTAGTTATTTATTAAAAATCTAAGTTATTACAAAGATTCAAAATCTAGTGGAAAAAATTTAATCTGTTAATAAACAAATGAAGGCAAAGTATTGAATTAAATTGCTTTATAACATATTAATATTTATTTGGAATCTAGCTTTGTTGTACAAATTAATAGTAGTTTAAAATTAAGACTATGCATGCAATTCAATTATTATATCATAGTAAAACTTCTAGTTTGTAGCAAAGCTAAATTATTAATAATATCCATAAAATTATATAATAGTGCCACATGACATTGCATAAAAATTCAAATCTAATGATGAAATTTTAAAAACATATTTATCATCATCTAATGAATACAGAATTATCATTTTATTTAAAAGAATAAAAATTTTGTCATTAATTTATATAGATTTTTAGACAATTTAATATTTTAAATTACAATAACAGTGAAAAATTCAATTTATTTTATAAATTGAATTTTACACATAATAAGAAAATTAAAACTAAAGTGTGAACCATAATAATAAATTTTGATCATTTCATGTAAAGAGTGTCACTCCAGAAAATTAAATGTATTGCCATTTTCATACATATGCAACTAAATTAAAAATGATTCAGCATTTCATGGTTATAATTGCAAATAAGCAAATTTTAACTTCCAAATATAAAAGTTCATGGCTACTTTTAGTAACCATATATTCAATATTTGAATAAATGTAAATAAATTAATATGAACAAATAGAATCTGTAAATTTGGAAAGTTATTGTAATTAAACTGTAATATTTATGCCTGTAGAAAGCTTCCTTGGTTATAATTATAATAAATTTTATATTACAATATTTAGTTAATAAAAAGTATAGTGGAAACATACAAAAGATAAGTGAAAATGTAAAAATTCATTATATCTTACCTTCTTCACTAAATGCGAAATTTAGAAAAGATGGAACAAGAAAAGATAAATAGCTACTTGAGTGATTGATTTTCTGACATTTTCTGCTAAACCAACCATCTCTGGCCTACAAAATTAATTCATTAACTACATGAATATAAAATATTATAAAAAAACATATTTCACATTTTAAAATGTTTCTATTTACATAACTATAAAAATATCAAATATATTTAACTTATTTTTCTATTTTTTCATTAAATACATAAAATATACTGACATGTCTCTTTTCTGAATATATATTGTTTAAAATTTAAATTAACTGAAGAAAAATTATTTTTGTAATCACTTTTCATCAATTGATTTTTCAAGGAAAAAAAATTAATAACCATGACTTTCTTCTCAGGAAAAATATAAAAATAATTCACTCAAGATACTGAATTTTACATTAAAAATATTTATTACAGTTCTAAACATTAATAGATAAACATTAAATATTACAAATAAAATCTATACCTGATATGCCAATTCATATAAACATCCATCTTTTCCTCCCATAAATATTCGACCATTATGAATTCCAGATATTGTCAACATGTATGAATTATCTGTAGGTATTGAGAAGAGAGGTTCTGCCAATAGATGCATTTCTTCATAAACAGGAGCATCTTTAAAAATAATGTTTGAAAAAAAATAAATGCAGCCATAAATGATTATTATATAAAATATTTTTTAACATTATGAAATTATCATATACCCTTTTTTTTATTATTGTTCTTCAGCTAATTTAAAGTTAAGAACATAACTCAAAATTATTTTTGTTATTAAAGTATCAGTTTTATTGCTCATTTTTAATTTTAATCTTAAAAGATATTAATTTGATTTTAATTTTTACTAACATTAACAGTTTTCAAATAAAGAAAAATATTTTAATCAACAGAATCAAATATGTAACATAATAAAATAACTCACTTTCTTGCTGCCTGTTAAAACTGACTCCTAACAAAACAATTTCTACTGGTGTTGTTAGACAAAGTAAAAATGATACATGATTAAGAAATATTCCTAAATAACAAAAAGCAACAGAAATTAGATCATATTAGTTTAAAAAATTTCATTAATTACTATTATTTCAAATAAAATAGATCAATTATATTTACCAGGTTTAGGTCTAACAAGGTTGACACTGAGAATAGTTTCACTCAAACCATCAAAATATGCAAGATCACCTCTAAATAAATAGTTACAATAATATTAATGTTTAATATATAACTCATAAATTTTGTTTATTCATAAATATAATGTAATTTTCTTTACTCCATTATCTTTAACTTTATGCTATAATCCATAATAACCCCAATTATTTTTAATTTCAGATTACTTGATTTTTATTATTTTTTACAATTACTTTATTACTTTTTGTCTTCAGTTTGATCAGCAACCTGATTGTGTGATTAATAAAATGATGTATTATTGTATATCATAATCTATTATAGTTTTCTTTGGACAACACTAATTCACACATCGTTGTCAGAAAATGTTACATAGTCCACAATGAAGTTTTTTTAGTAAATGAAATAATTCAAGTTAAAAAAATTTTTTTACAACTTCAAAATATAGTAAAATATTAATTTTCAGAAAAGATGACAAAACATTCTTATGTTAACAGTTTTCTTTGTATGCTACTGGTTAAAATCTGAAATTGTTTGCTATTTTGGATTCTGACATTGACCTTGGTTTCACCCTAATTTACAATGGGCTGTAAAACATTGTAGATGGAAAACATGTTCAATCTAAACTACACACAAAAAGTAAAATATCGGTCTACATTAACTTTCAAGATGTTATCATCATAAATAATACTTGTATGTCTATCTACCAACTTATAGTCTTTGCAGAACTTCTTTACAAATTTTAAAAATCACTTTAGTAAAGCATTATAACATCATTGATGATGACATAATACTTTACCAAATTCTTTTCATAAAATACTTGGTACTTGAAGAACCTAAAATACATTGAAAAATTGTTAAATACTACAAAGTAGGTTTATACATAATTTTGGAAAATTATTGTTTAATCTATTTGGAAATTATTATTTAGCTTATTTTCGTATACTCAAAACACAATTGCCTTAAATTGATTTATGTTATTCATACTTATAAGTTGTTATAATAATACCATCTTCTTGTAACAGGCATAAGCCTATTATAAATAAAGTTTATTGATGATGATATACTCAAAACACAATACAATTATTTATAGGCAAATAGCTTCTTACAAGATGCTATTTATAATTTATATAAGTATAATGCAATGTAAAGCTAAATAACAACAATTTATCAAACAAAAAATTTATATATTTAAAAAATCATACCCATCTTCATATCTCCAAATAAAAATATCACTGTCAATAGTAAGCCATGCTCTTTCAATATCTGTGAACAGTCCCATTTGACAATTACTTTGCATGTCTTCACAAGGTTAAGAATTCATAAAAGTATTCTTATATTTTCAACTAACAAAAAATAATTATTGAATTCTCTGGAATATAAATTGTACTTTATAACATATATTAAATTTTGAAAGACATTATTGCTTACATTTAAAATAATAATCTATTAGTACTTAATAAAAAAATTATTTCACAAAAGAAGAAAAATGAGAATTAGATATAAAGATTTTTAAATATAGTTCTAAAGCAGTGAGTGACCTGCAAGTTGCAGTTTGCCATCATTTTACTTAAAATCTTTACAAAAATCTGAATGTGGGCCACTTAATGATCTATGCAATAATTTTAAGGTACACATATTTGCTGAATTCCAAAGTTTTGTGTATGTAATGTGAAAGCAGTATCCTGCAGTTGTTGTGAAAAAGCTACTATTATGACCCTCAGATAGATAATCACATTATTTTCTTTTCACTTACATAAAGTTTGTTGTTATTTTTGTGATACAGATTAAAAGATTAAATATAGTAAAATTTGTATTTTTTTTTGTTATTTTTTAATTATTCAAATTAAATTTTGACCTATCTTCAGAAAAAGGTCTGCCATCTTGATTCTAAAGCAACATTATTTACAGCTGAATTAGTCATGCAAAGCAAAAAGTAAATTTAATATTTGATTTATTAGATTTAAATGTGTTTGTATTTTACCATATGAGTTATTGTTAAGTTCAATCAAAACAAAATAAAACTTACTAGAAATACACATCATACTTATAATATTTTAATGAATGCAAATTAACATTCTTAACATAATTTTCATCTTATGTATAACATTTTTCTAATAAAGTTTAATGAAAAATTACAAATTATAAAACTTAAAATTAATAATGCAAATATATTATTACTTTAATTTTTAAATCTATTTTCAAGTAAATTCAGTTATCTTATCACTCAGTATTCTATCAATTGGCATTTTAATTCAGTTTTTTATTTTTAATAAGATGTTTTTTATGATACTATTTTTATTGATATTTTCTATTTATTTAATTAAAAAAAAATCAATAAAAAGCATCTTAAGAATGAACATATATGTATGTTCATATGATGCATTCTATTGATTTTGTATATATAATGTATTATTCCAATTATTCTGAAATTTCACATTTTATGTTAAATTACTTTGCTATCTATTAACTTTCAATTCATATTCAATAATTTTAAATTTACAGATATGTTTTAATTAAATCTGACTGTTCAGGCTTAGTTAGCTAAATATGATAGTGTGAGAATTCAAAAGTGATGACCTTTTAAACTTTTCTAATGGGAGAAGAAAAACAAAACCCACACACTTCCGATGTCATACAATTTGGCAAACGATAAAGCCAATATAGATGGCCATATAAGGAACAATTATTATTAAGGTGCAAGACAAACGCTGACCTTAGTCACCTCTAGCAATTACTTCAGTTGGTTTGACAGCTGCTATCAAATGTATGAGGTGGAAAGAGTAACAATACCAGATAGAAATAGTAATAAATCTAAAGAAATGTTCAATTTCTGATAATTAACATAAACAAATCCCGGACGCAAGTCAACTTTAGATGAGATTGCATCAGACTTAGTATTTGCCAGTCCCTCCAGGACATGTATAAAAAGGGCTGAGGCACAGTCCTCCGGGCGGACATCCACTTTGGACATCAGGGAGCACCAGACCCATACCACCATTCCGTCCATCGCCACCCTTGCCTTCCCACCATAATCGCCGTCTGTCTGATGATCCTGACCTGAAGAGAAGGAAGACTACAAGTAAACTTCACCAATCCAGAATGTTTTGGCCAATGACCATACAACGAGACTGGGAACCAGAGGTAAACACACACAAAGAATTTAACCCTCTCTCTCTGGCCTTAGTTATAAGCTAGACTTAGGTTAGTTTGACTTAAAGGATACTGGGACCTATAAAGGCCCAGAACTTGGACGATTTATTGATGACCGTCTATCATTGTCGTGACTTAAAAGTATTTTTGATTATTCCCTTTTTGTAGCCTTTCGATTTGTACTCACTTTGTATCATTTTATAGTTTATTAAATGTGTTATTTGTTGAACCTGTGGACCTGTCTATAATTCTTTGCAGACATCTTGTTGACTTACTCATGCCTCCCCACTCGATAACGCCCTCCTAGCCATCACCTGACAACATAGCCAGTAAGTGGGGACAAGCTCGATGCTCTATGCCCTCAGTTCACATAGAGCAATAAAATATGAATCTTTTACTTAAATTAAGTAATCATTGTTCACTAGATAATAGATAATTTAAATGGAGCTTGTGGACATTATTTGATATCCTTCCAATTTTAGGGGTATCTGCAAAGCAGACGTGCACCAATGGGCAACCCTCTATCGAGCACTCTGTGTGAACTAGTTCATCATCATCTTGAAAAAGAGGTGCTCCCATTTTTTAATGATCAAATTGTTCCATACACCTGATATGTCAATGATGTTCTCATAATCTGGCAACAGAAATATGATTTAATCCACTACTTAAAAGCAGTCAACAATAATCCCTATAGCCTTTATCTCTGTATTGAGCAAGAAAGCAACCACAAAGTTCATTTTGTAGACATCCTTCTTACACTCAAAGATATCAACATTTCAACTAAGGTTTGTATAAAACTGGAGTTTAAACCACTATTCATTCCAACAGAATCTAGAGACCATATATATTTAAAACGTCAGCCTACAGAGCCCTAGTCAAAAGAGCATTCACTCACTGCACTATCATCATTGACAGAAAAATCAAACTAAACTACATCGCAAGCATAACAAAACAACATGAGTATTCTTCTAGCCTTGTCTAAAATCTCATGTGTAAATATCAAACTGGGTACACATCTAAAGACAAATCTAAAAGCCACAAAATCATCAGGTTTAACCAACATCTTCCTTGGGTATACAAACAAATTATGAGAACAAACCAACTTAGTATCTCTTACATGATATCAAATATCCAAATATCTTCACTTCATTACAGAATGCCAAGGACCCTATCAACACACACAGAATTCATCTGGGGTACATTCTATTCCCCATTGCAGACAACAGATTCAATAAAACAATGGAAAAACATCATGAAGGGCTTCTCACCATTTCCATCATCCCGATACTCCAAGATAGCTACCATACCATCAGGATTGGAACTTTCACCTAAGAAGAACTGGACCTCGCTCAATTTTGGTAAAATTTTTTTCACCGCTTCTGTAATTTTGGCTTTAGCATGATTGATTTCATCATCAGTTTTTCCAACTTCTTTCCATTTATCTTGAAGCATTTTGGTGTAACTTTTCAGATAATTTTTATAATCATTTTTGGAGAATCCAGTTTCTACAAGTCTTTGATTGAGCACCAAATCTAATCCACTTTCTACATATTCATCTGTTCCCTCATCAACTTCTTCAGCGGATGGATTTGCTCCATCTAACTGAATATCTCCTTGTTTTCTGGAGATGTGCCGACATTCGACTTCGAACAAACAATCGTCGACAAGCCTGCACTTGGAAGAATCGGTGAACATTTCATCGCAATTGATACTTCTGAAGGATCGACTGAAACATTACACAAAGCAAAAAGAAAAACAATATACTTTTACAATCAAATTCCAAGGAAGTAGTCTATATAGGAGCAATGGCTTGATCTCTTTACAAGCTTATCAAGAAGCACCATTATTCTATCCAAAATGGCCTTTCCACCACAATGTTAGAGACATTTGCAAATGAAAACAATATAACGGTACTTCTCAATGAAACAAGATTAATACACACTAGTAGGAACTGAACTATCTAAAAAATCTAAGGATTCTTGAAATATACAAAGCTAATTTTTAAGACATGGCCATAAATTACAGGGATGTAGATACATTCTCCAAAACATGGAGGTCTATTTTTGAAGTACAGTAGAGCATTGATTATCCGACTCCTGATCAACCGTCACATTGGTTAACCGACCGCGTTCTAGTCGGCAAATTCATTTGGCTAGTTTAATATTATTTTTGTTAAATTTTTTATGTTTTAGCTGGCAACACTGGCTTGACCATGAAAGGGATGCCAGTATTTAAACGAGGCTTAATTTTCTAATTACGAGTGGTTGTTTGTTTTGTGAGCAATAAAATAATTTAAAAATAATTTTTAACGATACAATAGCAATGATTATTATTTTAAAAAAATTTTGTTAGGCTTAACATCGATGAAAATTCAACACAAAGTAGGTTAATAGCAATATACTAATATACTAATTACATGGAATATACTAATATACTATACTAATAATGTATTTTTTCATACTTTTCGGTTATCAGTTTTTTCAGTTATCCGACCAACCCCAGTCCCCAATTGAGTCGGATAATTGATGCTCTACTGTATGACTATAAATTAAATTTTATTGCTTAAAAAAGAATCGTAAAGATCGCATTTTCCAATCAATGAAATGATTGCTCCATCTGTTTTTTAAGTGACATTCAAATTTTCATATTGATGTTTGACTGAAGATGACAATTTAAAAATTATCAAAAATGTTTGTTTATCATTATTTTTAGTAAGTATAATTTGTGCTGGATATTTCTGATATAATTACATGCATTGTATAAAAAAAATAATGAATTATAAAAAATATTATACATTCTAATTAATTAAAAACTATACTTGATATTAACTTAAATACAAATTTTAAAAAGATACGTCCAAACTGTTCAACCAATTCTACTGGAAGTGGAACACGATTCACAATTTTAACTTGAGAAAGTGATTTTAAACTGCTACCAAGACCTGTAACTCCAGGATAATCTTGATCTGTTAAGCCACTGACACTCGGAATACCTGTCAAATTGATTTTCACAATCAGAATTAAAGCTTTCAATATAAAATCACAAACTATAAAAGGATACATGTAAAATATATTCATTACCAGATGTTCCTTTTAGAAGATCAATTAGTTGTGTGTAAGAGCTATCCATTTGTAGATGTGCATCAACCATTCGAGCAGCAATTTCTAACGCTTCTTTTTGTTGGCTGCTTATATTAAATGCAGAACTTGGATTTGGTGCAAATTCAACAGCCATTTTTTATTTCTAGAAAATTTTAAATATTTTAATAACTTTCTTTTATAGAGAGATTCAATGTTTCTTAATAAGTTTATAAATGAAAATATTAATTATATTATTTTTAACATAATAAAATAATTTAAAACAGTTCTTAACTAGAAATATATTTTGATAAATAGAAACGCAATGTCAAAATTTAACTGATATGTAAATGAAAAATAAAATTATTAACTACTAATAATTTATTTAAGGCTAAGCTAAAGTTCTATACTTGCAATGTTGAAAACTTTATGGCAAAAGTTTTCAGAAACTAAAACTTTAATAATGAAATTTTTCACATTCATAAAGAATATTTTGAACTTATTACTCATCTTGGTCTAATAAATTAAAATTAGCTCCGATTATTTTAAAGCTCAATTTTTCACTTTAGCATTTGGTATTTATATTTATCACTATATGGCACTATGTGATTATATAATTTCTCAAAATGTTTACTTTCTTTGGTTTTAATAAATAATATAAATTTCCAGAAGAGTTATGAAAAATCAAATAGAGTGAGAAGCAAGAATGGAATGTTGACAATATTTTTAAATAGTTAATTAAATTAATTAATTTAATTTTTCTCACCGTTTCAAATGAGCATCTACATCACAAACTAAATGAAAATGCAAATTTTTCACCATGATAGCTATGAAGGTTTTGTCTTGTGGCATTGAAGTTGAGTGTTTTCATGACAACCCATTAATGACTGTAATGTTAATTTTGTTATTTTCCTTATCGACCCACATCTTCATAATTTTCAATTAAAATGAATGTTTATAGACAAGAATATAAAAAAAATAAAGAATAAAAAGCATGTAATATTCTAGACATTTATGAAAAAATGTTTTGCCAACTGAAAAAAAATGCAGTTGCTGACTTCAATGTGATGAAATGCAAAAATGGATAAATTAGTAAATGTCCTAAATGCAAAAAGATTAGGATTATATCTACTTTAAATTTTAAGGTGTATGCAAATCAACAACTATAGATAATGAAACTTTGATACATTTTGCATAATTTTCAATATAAGTTGTGATATGCTGTTGGATTCAAATAAAACTGGAATTCTTCCTTTGTGCTATGTGCAACAATCAATGTTTTGGTAAGTTTTGAAAGAAATACCACTTATAATGTGTCAAATGTAATTCTATTCTAATGTACTTCTAAGAATTATTCCATAATGACTAAAGTTTTCTAATCAATGCATTAATTTAATGTTTTATTTTTATTTTGCATAGAGATTCACAAACATATCACATATTAAAACAGAAAAAATGCTGTAGAATTAATACATATATATTAAGCAATATTATGTATGTTTTACTGTTATTTCACAAAATTGTAATAAAAGTATGATTTAATACTACTCACTTAAAATTTATAAGATATTTAAAAATTAAAATTTTATGTTTTAGAATATAAAATTCAAAATGTATAAAGTTTCAGCCCAATTCCACATCAAAACGTTCCATATGGCCCTTTACTATAGAAAGTTTGTTTGTTAAGTTATGGTAACGCAACACTTGGCGATCTGCCTAGGAGGGGATGCCTTCTGGGAGTTCCGGGAGGTCTTTTTAAGGGAAATTGGCCCCTATTTAGGGGTTACAGATGTGGAGAAAACCTGGAAAACTCCACATGGCCAGCCCATCCAAGCAAGGTGCAAACCCATGACTGAACTCCCAGTGTTCAGAGTACAAAGACCGATTGACTACTGGTGGGCTCTTACTATAGAAAGATTGCCCATCCTTGCATACTACAATTGCATATTATAGTAAAGGTTAAAGTTGTACCAGTATCTTCATTAGTAGAGATGTTTGAAAATGTTATTTTCTTTTTTTAAAGATTTTTTTTGTATATGAAATTTGGTGTTTTGTGTTACCATTACATAAAAATATTTGATTTGCTAAATAATTTTAAACATTTTACTGAAATTAAATTATAATGATAGTTAATCTCTATATTAGCTGCTATCAATCTTAGTCTCCTGTTAGTAACAACTTGACTATAAAGTATCTTGCATGTGTTGTCTGCCTATCTCTACAATTAAGCATGAAAACCACATTTCTCTGAACAGATCTTTATGTGAAAGTTTTAATCCAGCAGGGAGCTCACAATATTCACTTTCAAACAATCATTCAAACTGTTCCTTCAATGCAACCAGATAAATTGAATGCATTTCAAAAAAGAAAAAATAAAAGTGCATCATCGGTAAGAAAATATTTTGTTTTTCCATTAGCTTGTTTTTCATAAACAAACAAACTATAGATCAATCCTACAGTCCAAATGTCAACCAGAATTTATAGCTTGCAACTAGCTATAATTTAAATCAATTAATAAGCAATTATTTATTGTGACATCATCACAATGACTGGCTGCAATTTTTATATTTTTAATTTAACTTAAAATATATGCTCTCCATCTTAAATTAGTAGTGACTTGCCCCTGTACATAATACTTTTCCTTTAACAATAGAGTCATGCCAATTATCTATCTAAAACCTTACAGGGGAAACATTTTGAATTAAAATAACACGACTTCTGGTTTGCATCAGAAATTCATATATAGTTAATTGGGGCCTCCCGCCTCTAAAGTTTCCATATCCAATCTAAGGTTTCATCTAACTCTGTTCTCGAGATTAAGGAAAGAGAGATGGACACAGGTGGCAACAGTGGAAATTTATAGGTCTACAATTTTTTCATATTGCAACCCAATGAATTTATACTTATGTAGGCTTATTAACAAAAATATTTTTACCATAATCAGGTAGCAGTCTGCATTGAAACATTTAGTGCATTGAAACAATATACAGACTGTACACTGCATTAAAACATGCAGTGTACAGTCTGTATATTGTACACCTGTTTCATATTATCTCTAACAGCCTATCATGTTCAGGTAAATATTCTGCATATATATTTTACCTACAAATATGCAGAATAAATATCTTTAAATTATGTTAAATTGTTTAATTTAGTTTCCATCATAACAATGACTGTCAGATTTTAAAATTGGAACCAGTATATAATGTAAATAATAACTATTTTTGATTCATTCTAATTATAATAAGCTCATTATCATAATATGTTTAACTTGTTTAATACAAATATTTACTTATTTGTTTTTGTACTGAAGCTATTTTTATTTTTTCATCTACAGATGTTTTGTTTTGATATTAGAAACAAATTCTAATCATTTCAATAATAAATGAGATTAGTTAAGGACTCTTGATATAATAAATTCTCATTCATTATATTCTAAAACATTCATTACATCATTTTGAATTTTAGTTTAAAATTAAATTCCTGATGATGATCAGGTCACTCTAAAAATTTTTTTTTTTTAAATTGGCAACCATTTTGCCAGTTTAAAACGTTTTTTGCCACTTCAAATTATTTATCATCACCAGTTTTACTTACTAATTAATGCTGGTGCTGGTAACCTTATCAGTTTGGAGTCTAGAAAGCAAAATAACATGTTAAGCTGTCACTTAACAATAGGAATCTTTTTTGAACAAATTTTTTAATGAATAATTCCAAATAGCACATTTGATCACAATATGTAAGCAGAATTTCACAAGTTCTATTATGTCAAAATTTTTATGCTTTAGTCTACTGAAAAAAGATCAAAGTGAAAAAATGCCACCCCAAAAAGTCCACACAAGTCAATCCACATAGATACTTGGGAGAACAGAATACTGCCGCAAAAGAGTATGACTGACTTTGTAATATATGATAAAAGGTTAAAATGGATGACGAAAGATACAAAAGTGATGAGAGGGTGTGAAATACTGATCATTACCTAGTCAGGTTGAGGATACAATTGCTGAATTGTTGGCAATATAGAAGACAAAACAGTGAAAGAAAAATTTTAGAACATGTGAAAGTAGAGTGCCTGAAGGAGCAAAAATTACAGTATAGAGAAAGTGTATCTGCTAAGCTAAATGAGGTGAGTGTGGATGTTAAACAAAATCTTGAGAATCTGCAAAATTTTGTAAAAAAGAGTGTGGTAGAGTGTGCAAGAGAAGTGTGTGGTACTGTGAATATGGGCAAATGAATGAGAGGTACTGAACAGTGGAATGAAGAGATTGCTGAAGTTGTAAAGAGAAAGAAAAAAGCCTGCCTAAGATATTTGAATGGAGGAAATAAGAATGAGTACATACAGCATAACCGTAAATACAGAAATTGTAAAAAAGAGCAAAGATGATGATGGAAATGAAAGAGCAGAGAAATTATAAGTAGCATTTAAGGATGACCAGAAAGCTTTCCGGCAGTATATGAAAAAAGGTGAAAGGTAGTGATGCATATGTGGGTACAAAAGTGTGAATGATGAGAATGATGATCTGCTGTAGAGGAGTAAGAATGTATTGGAAAGAAGAGAGAGTATTTGATTGAGCTTTTAGGATGTGAAGATGTCAATGTCTAGGCATGAGGTTAGGATGTCTGTGAATGAGAATATCATGGATGTGAGGAGATCAGCATACAAGAGATGAGAAAAGCAATTGACAATTTAAAAATGAAAAATACTGCAGGTGTGGATGGAGGGAGTGTGCTGAAATGTTAAAATATGGTGGTGATTGTTGTTGACATGTCTGACAAACCTCTTTTGTGTGTGCTGGGAGAAAGAATGGGTGCCAAATGATTGGAGAGATGCTATTATCATTGTTCTATATAAAAGAAAAGGTGACAGTGCAGAATGTAAGAATTATAGAGGTATAAATTTGCTAAGCTTGCCAAAAGATATTTGTACAAGTTTTAGTGGAGAGGGTGATGAGAATTACTAGAGAACATCTGGAATGCTCAGTGTGGGTTTATGGCAGGAAAATTATATGGATCAAATCTTTGGATTGTGAAGGATTGTTGAGAAGTATCTGAGTGTGAACAAGAGAATTTGTGCTGCATTTGTGGATTTGGGGAAGGCAAATGTGGGATGATCTCGGTGAGTATGGGGTTAGTGGGAAGTTGCATGAGGTGATAAAAGCATTGTAT